GCTGTGAAAAAAAAATAATAATATATATATAAATTAAGAGCCACTCTGCCACTCTCAAACACTACTGAATAAAGCACTCAGCGTTTCACTCCACTAAAATAGAAGACTTGGTCTTTCAGTAAGCAATGCCATTTCTTAGGAAGCACTTGCAAATTTTGAAGCACTTGCAGATTTCACGTATGCTGGTCTTTAACTGTTCCGGTAACATTGTCTTTATCACCTCAATGTCATCTATTGAGAAGAATTCAAAGTATGCCAATTCACATTTAAGATAAGCTAACATATTTCCCCAAACAGAACAAAGATACATATCTATACATCTTTTTCCTCCACTGTGGTTGCTGAGATGAGTTCACACATGGACTAGTTGAACAAACACCCTTACAAGCAATTATCATAATTTACCAACGGGCAGTGTTTCTGTAAACATGTCCTTTTGCAGCTTCTGACAATTAGCTCAGTCCAGAATCTTACAAGAATATTAAAATGTATAAATGACATCTCTGATTTCTCCATTTGGTGTTGGAAATAATGCAATCCTCAAATACTTCAGCAGAGGTAATTTACAGTCAGTGAGCAAATGTTCATCTTGAATAATATGAGTCAACTCCCTTCAGGCATTTTTTTCCTTAGAAATAATAATATTTGTATTTAAAAGACAAGAAGTGGTCAGTAAATTACAGATATAGATTTTATCTAGGAACAGAGGTTGAACCAAGACTTTGATTTATAATTGCACTTCAACAGGCTACTTGTCACAGCAGCCCAGCAGCAAGCACTACTTTAAGACTAAACAACAGACTCTCTGCCCTACTTCTTAACAGCTAAGCAGTATGCAGGTATGAGCCTAAATCAAATGAAAAATTAAGTATTTTCAAATTAGCGACATATCCCTGATGTAGGCTCATTTTAATACAACTCTGAAATTACGTGGTGGTGGTTGCGTTTTTGTTTACAACCAGTGAAACAGCTGAAGGAGACGGAATCTGCTGAACATGCCACCGATTTAACTAACACCACGTTCGGTTGCTAAAGCTGCAGCGATACTATCCGTTTCGCAGCGCCGAATCCTGATCGTACCTAAAGTCCTCTAGCACAAACTCAGCGGCTTCCTAGGACCTGCAGCCAGATGTAAAGCAGAACACGCTGCTCCTGCTAGGAATGCGTTGCTGCTCACTACATGCAGACAAAGAAACACAACTCTAAATTCCCCCCAGTTCACTCCATCATAACGCCTGAACAACTCCGTCCCTGAAAAGAAACTTGTTGGGTTTCTTCCCAACCTAATAAAGAAACAGTACCATAAGTTAAAATGCATTTGGTTCCCTTTATAGAGGAATAACCACGTGCAGAAGTTTCTGTACCAGCGCAGGGAGAGCCGGGTCGCAGCCAGCTCCGGGAGCAGCGGGGCGCTCATCGTCCCCCAGACCCGCCTCACGCCCGCTGAGGGATGCTCCGGCCCTCCTGGGGTCCCGAGGAAGAAGCTGAAGCCCACCGGGGAGGCTAGCAGCCTTCCTAACAGGAGCCGTCACTTTCCGAGGACGGCTGCACACCGGAGACACTTAACAGCTACCGCGGATGTCTACCCACCGGCCGCCCAGCGCCCCGCTGCTTACAGAAGGGGCGACAGTCCCCGGCGCTCCGGGCAGAGCG